TTTTTTCCCCCTTCAGGTGTCCATGTGCCCTCAGAGGACCAACGGGTCCCTTTACCGGGCCAGGTGGCCCCCCCCCCCCCCCCCCTTACCGTGTTGTATGCGGCAGGCTCCTGGCCGTCGGTGATGAGCTCCCGCTCCCCCCGGGGGTTGACTCTCCTGAAGCGCCGCCTAGACCTCCGCTGGGACCCGTCCCGCTGCAGGAACCCGTCGTCCGCCTCGCTGCCGTTATCCACCTGCAACACACAGTCGACACCCCCCTCAGAACGGACGCCGCCGCGGGGCTCGGACCCGCCGCCCGCGGGCGGGGGGGTGCCGGCGGAGGGTCGATCCTCGGGCTTTTGGATGTCGGCCCCCGAGGCGCGATTTGTACACTCCCAGTTCTGGTCCCGGCGGTCCGACTCCTGCGTGTTACTCGCCGTGGGGCCGGGGGGGTCTGAGGAGCTCCGGCCCGGCTCGCCTGCCGGCTCCTGGTTGAACATCCAGTTCCTCCAGAGCGCAGAGAGCCGGTGCCAGCCGAGCGCACTCATCCGGAGGCGAGCGCGGTACCACAACAACACATGAAAGCAGGAAATACCGAGGAGGTGGGGGGGGCCCAAACCCAGCCGGGGGAAACTTCTGGACAAACAATGAATAGAAGCATTCAAATTCTGACGAAAAAGGAAAGTTTGAGCTCCTGCAACTTCAGGTCCTCGGAGGCGAGAGGAGTGAAAAGAGGCGTCGCTCTGCATGTTGCACACGGAAGCACTGACTCACATGCTGCGAGACACGTGCACCGAGCGCACAACCAGCGCACAGTTTCCTCCAGGAAGCCGTGAATACGCAAATATCCTCGGCAGGCGGAGGAGGAAGAAGAAGAAAAGCGATTCCGGCCTCTCAGCTTCCCTCCCGCTGTGTCAGTAACAACAACACGCTAAAGACTTTAGGAGCAAGACTTCGCTTTGGCTTATTTTTCATCTTTCTTTGACTTGTTTTATCTTTTTCTCACTTAGAGCCGAATGTTTAATGTGATGAATACTTATTTTGCAAAGTGGAGCAGAAGTAAAGCTTGATATTTAAACGCTAAACCTCCCTGTTCTTTCCTCTGTTAACAGTTGGAGGGTTTCACACAGCCTTGTGCCTACATTACCCACAATGCAGCTGGAGGGTTGGGTGCGCTATGCGGAGGCCTCAGAGGTCATGTGAGGTCTTGTCAGGCACATTTCTTAACATTTTCGACAAAAAAGCCAAACTGGAGGCTTCAAAACATCAGTCCAGGAACCAATGGGGGGACGTTACCATGACTACGGCTACTCCTCAAAACAGAGAGACCCCCCCGGCCCCCCAGTGACCAACAATGTCAGCCATTGAGACATCTCTATGAATATAATGGGGTTGTGTTTCCTGTCTGCTCCGTTCATTTAAACCTCCATTTCATTCCCACAATGCACCACTCAGGACTCAACCCCCCCCCCGTGACCAGAGTCACAACGGCTACGGCCCCCATGGCCATAATTAACTAAACACACTGTGTCTATGTGGAAGCTGCACACGCTGACAGCGGAATGCAGAGTTGTGTGTCCTCTGTGTGTGTGTCCACTGTGTGTGTCCTCTGCGTGTGTCCACCGCGTGTGTCCACCGCGTGTGTCCACCGCGTGTGTCCACCGCGTGTGTCCACCGCGTGTGTCCACCGTGTGTGTCCACCGTGTGTGTCCACCGTGTGTGTCCTCTGCGTGTCACATCTGCACAGAAGCTGGACAACTAAACTTTTGCTTAAAGAAAATGAAACGTCAGAATAAAGGTCTAAAGGTCATGCGTTTGAATAACTGGTTCGTACAATAATCCAAAGATATTAACTTTAACACGACATAAAACGGAGAGAAAATAAGGAAACCTTCGTGTTTAGAGGCTCGAAAAAAAAAAAAGAACAACCAGGTGTGAAGAGAGAAGAGACGGTTGGTGTAAAAACCAGTGAAGAACTGCCTGAAGCTGCAAATATAAATACTGTGGTTGAATAATTCAGTGTTACATGAGCGCTAAATAGCCGTAAAACTGTGATTAATTGAAATGAAAGTCAGCTTTTATAGTTGTTATTGCCTCAGCGAGCGGAGTGGCGGTTTGTCTCCTGCAGTGCGACAGTTTAAATGTCTTTTTTTAATCAGAGTTTATTTAATCTCTCCTTGTTGTTTCTATTGTTTTATCACGCAGTGATTCCAGCTGGCGATGGATCATCAATAACAATCAGCTGGAGCGGATCAGTTACAGATATCGTTGGTAGAAACTGAATTTCAAGAGGGACACGTCTGGGCATCGAGGCTGTAAACGACCCACAATGCAACGCTGCACGTAGCAGCTGGTGGAGACTTTTTTCCACTTTACTTGATGATATGAATCAGAATTCACACGTAATTTGAAGTCCCTTTGAGAGACACCATCTTATGTATAATATACATTTAATGTCATTAGAGGCTTCTAGAAATTCAATATATTTCATGCTGAAGCTTTGGCAACACATCCTGCCAATGAGGCTCATTTGAATGAGTAGACAAGAGAACCACAGCTCATCCAGACGGGGGGGAGAGATGAAAGAAGGGTGAGAAAGAAAAAACAGACATCAAATAAAAACATAAAATAGGACTAATATCAAAGGACAGGTGGGCGATGCGGGAGGATCAAAAGGGGGAGGGGCCAGCAACAAAATAAGAGAGAGAGGCGGAGTCTCGACTCACCACGATCATCTCTGACGGCTCCAAAGTGATGCATTCACAGCCTCGCCTCCCCGCCAGCTGCCTGCCGAAGCTGCAAGACACCAAACAAAAGTTACTCCTCCCATCCTCCCCCCCTGCCCCCCCCCACCCCCACAAAAGCATCATGGTAGAATGTCGTCACAGAAGCAGTGGGCTTATGTATTACGTCTATTGGTTGCAAAAAATCCTAACTGGAAGGACAGGTGACCTGTCAATCACTGTAAGCCCCGCCCTAAAGCGTGCTCTGGTTACTACGCTCTGCATCGAGGCCCATAGTTATGGGGGGGGGGGGTGCGTGGAAGTGACCAACGAGACACAGAAGTAGTCAACTTTCCTCCTCGTTTCCAAATTGACAAAAGCAGCGAAGCCAGAACCCCTCATCCTGTTTCACCTTTCAAAATAAAAGTCCTAGATGATATTTGATATAGCGTATTTGGTTATTGGTCGACACCCCAGAGTGTGAAAGCATCAACACTGACCATTTTTACTGTCCACCTTTCTCTCTACAACCCCAGTCAGATGCTTGTAGGAGCAAAGCATTCTGGGTTAAAAAAAAACAACACCCACAGATGAATTGAAGCAATGCATTTAAAAGCTAAAAACCCAAAAGGAATAAGAACCTGTGGCGGGTTAAGCTGCAGCTAATGCTTATCATTAGCAGTTTATTTTTAGAATTACATAACTAACTATAACTGCTATGACTTGGATTGAAAGATGGTGACACGTGAGAAGCAGTAACACAATAATATTATATATTAATAACATTATATAATGTTCTGTTCAAAGAGTGAAGCGGAGAGGCTCAAAAGGCTCAAAGCGTCGACTCAGCGTATATTTCTAGTACTTCTTCTTTACCCAAACTCTTCCCTTTTAGGCTTTTTGTTTCATTTGGTGCCATTTTGAAACGTAACATCTGATGAACTATATCTGGGCTGCAGGTTGAACCTCACGAGGAACCACATGAGCGGCACAATGTCCTCAGAGGACGGTCCAACTCAATGAGGAGCTAACTGTCACATCCTTAATCACGACGGCGCCGTCCTCTTGAAGTGACGCTGAGATGAAACCCGTCTTCATAACGCGTCGACGAGGGAAACGAGGATGAAAGTCCTCTTTTCTTTCTCCTTCTCATGGGAACAGTCGAAGGACGTCGATGTGAAATCAAAGCTTCGCGTTTAATTATTTCAAGGGGACGTGGAGCGACGCTCTGATGCCATCGTCCCTGCGTGTTGGATTCTCTCATTTCAATCACGATATCTCTATATATTATCATCAAAAAGGTTCAATTATCCAATAGATTGATAGAGGCCACTGCCGGCCACGTGGCCCACAGGCTCATTGGAGTCTGTACACAAGTAAGACTTCTTTACCTCTGCAAGAAGTCAAAGTTTGAGTTGAACGAACAGCTCTGAGGCAGGTGAGCGTTTGTCTCCCTGCAGAAACAAGCTGTCGGCAGACGGGAGGATAGAGACAGCTGCAGAGCCCCGGGGCAACAAACTGTGACACACACCCACATGTCATACATGTATGTGGGTATGTATACTACACATATGGTTGATACGAATAAGACCGGGGTGTATTTAACCTTAAATGGGTAGAAGGGAGCCATCAACATATCGTCACACACCACCAATGATGTCTGTGCTTTCTTGTGCGGAAATTTCAAAATAAACTTCACAGGAAACTTGGTGGAGGAAATATTCACTTTTCTTTTTACACCAATGAGTCGTGGGAGGAGAGAAGGGCTGGATCTACCTCCACCTGGTATGTCAGGGAGCAAAG